CATTGCCTTTACAAATGTCTACATGTGATTGGCTGGAGAGTTTTTAATCTCTGCCTCTGATTGGCTGAAAAATTTGTTAGGATTAAATTGAAGCATATGGTGATATGTATTAGTACATAGTCTTTAAAATTGTGTTTTATAAACATGATTGGCATCATGTTAGGGATTAGAAATAATTATTGGGATTAGTAAATTTTTAAAGTCATTGTAAAAATATCACTTTTTCAATTGAAAATGTGATGCTATTCTGTAAGAGGTCGGAATGGCATTACATCCACTGTAGAACTAATCCTTCTCGAAACTATGCTCCGAAAATAACGATGTTCATTTACGATTATCTAACTAAACAACTGTGGATATGATGCGACTTTGACAATTGTGGATAAAAAAAAAAAACTATTAACATATACCGGATATTGTTATTGAAGCCTTTTAAGTTTTTGGAATTCAAGAAATAGTTTGCTTTATTTGAATGTTGGAACTAATACTGATAACTCACAATTACTTTTGCATAAATATTTCAACATGTTTTCCTCTTTAATTTAACATTTGTGTGTTTTGTATTTTGCAGAAGGGTACGAAGGTCGCTGGGTAGAATCAACAGCCAAAGGCGGTGAGCAAGGCAAATGGGCATGGAGTGCAGGAAAATTTTTCAATGATGAAGACAAAGATAAAGGCAAGTTATTTTATTTGTTTACTTTCACCAGATGAGCACCTTTACAATTGACTTAATCAGGGTGAAGTGATTAAAACAATAATTCCGTTAATATATAATGTATTGTGATGGTATATAAGTGAAAGTATGATCACCCATTTAAGTATTTGTTGCCTAAAATGATTTTTAAACCACCAATGAGTTAATTCTTTCAATACAATTTGTATACGTGTTGATTAGTTTGCATTCTATGGTAGAGTTCCAACACGTCACCACTTGATTGATCAGTATAATGGCGACAGCTGGATTTGTTAGGATTGTTTTATAACTTAAAATTACAACTTTGAAGAATTACTAGTGTATACTTGGCAAAATAACACAATTTTGCTGCATAATTTGCCAGTCCTCGGACAAAACTCTATACTAATGCATTTGCTGTATATTGCATGTTGTATACTGTATATATTTTATCAAAAAAAAAACTTGTGTATGCGCACATTTATTCTAAACAAGCTGAATTTTCTCACTCACTCACTCAATGAAACATGTGAGCCTAACTTACTATGTTTGTTTCACTCATCAGGTATCCAGACATCAGAAAATGCCAGGTTTTATGGAATATCCAGTAAATTCGACAAATTCAGCAATGAAGGAAAAGATTTAGTCATTCAATTTACAGTTAAACATGAACAAAAAATAGACTGTGGGGGTGGTTACGTGAAAGTATTCTCAAGTGATCTTGACCAAGAAAAACTTCATGGAGAATCTCCTTATCTTATCATGTTTGGTAAGTTGCAACTCTTTGCTCATTTTCTTTATGATAAATATGATCACAAATTTGATAATTGTACGTGTATATCTATTGAATTTCATTTTATTTAAATATATCTGCCATTGTGAGCAACGTTTCAGTAAGAAAAAATTTGCACATCTGCTATAAAAATAGCAAATTGCATAAATTAGGAACCCCAAAATTCTTTCAATTAAAGATCAAGATGTCCAGTCCAAGTAGTGGTTACTATTCTAATGATGATAACTTCAACATACAACCATCTTTCGGGGCTGATATCCGTGATGTTGACAGTAATCTGAAGACTGATTGCCAAAGTAATTTATTTAATATACCTTTTTACAATTGCGTTAACTGTTTTCATTTTTATTGCAGGACCTGATATTTGTGGCCCAGGAACCAAAAAGGTTCATGTTATTTTCAATTATGCACCAAAGAAGGAAAATCTTTTAATCAAAAAGGATATTAGGTGTAAGGTAAGTACTATTACGTTAAACACTATTACTGTAAAGAGATTTTGGCTTGAAATTAATTTTTTGTTGAAAGAGTGATTCAGTGAAAATAAAAATCTAGCCAATACATGTATACCTATTTTTTCTATATTTTACATTCATATCGCCAAAAATCAGTGAAAATTTATTTTACAATCTGTGTAATGGATTGCATATCTAAGATGCAGATTCTAATGATGATAACTTCAACATATAACCATCTTTCGGGGCTGATATCCATGATGTTGACAGTAATCTGAAGTCTCCTAGACCAGTAATTATCAATTATTAATTAACTGAAACTCATTGATTACTCACTGCATTTCAATTCTACTATATATACAGGATGATGAGCTTACCCATCTGTACACACTGATTGTCCGCTCTGATAACACCTATGAGGTTCGCATTGATAACAAAAAAGTAGAATCTGGAAACTTGGAGGATGATTGGAATTTCCTGGCACCAAAGAAGATCAGAGACCCAGAAGCCAAAAAACCAGAAGATTGGGACGATAGGGAAAAAATTGATGACCCAGAAGCCACAAAACCAGAAGTATGTACATAGTTTCATATTTAATATCTATAAATTTGTGTTAATGATTTTTTTTCCCATAATTGAATGTGCTCTTCCAGTGGTAATCGCGACTGATTTTTCATCTGTATGCAATGTGCAGCAGGTACAGTTTTTTTGACTTCTTGGAATATTTGTTCAAGTGTTTCAGTCATCTCATAAATTGCATGGTTTAAACATTTTTTTTATACTCGTGAATGTGCTCAAGTTGTCTTTGTTAGTAATGGGACCCAAATATCATGCAATGCTAACTGCTCACTTGAATATGAAGTATCATTAATCACCTAACCTGAAGTTCTTGGGGTGAAACACAATTTGAGGTTATCAAGAAGTTGTCTTCATGTTAACTTTTTCATGCCCAGTTTTATGCAAATTGCTTGGGTTTTTGTTTAAATTCATAGTCGTTTTATTTGCCGTTTTTAAACTGGCAATATCATACTTTCACAGATTTTTGATTAAGGAATTTAGGAGGCTGTATTATTGTTAAAATATTAGGGGGGGTAATGATTTTTTTTTCACAAGCTAATCTAATATTACATTTGTTCTAGGATTGGGATCAACCAGAACACATTGCAGACCCAGATGCTGAGAAGCCAGAAGACTGGGATGATGAAATGGATGGAGAATGGGAACCACCAATGATTGACAATCCAGAATACAAGGTAACCATGGATACATGCATCCATTCTATCATGTGTTGTATCTTTTCATTTGCAGTTAGATTCTAAATTGACCCTGCTAGGAATGATGTATATTTCTATAACTGTACATAATTCTCGGTATTTCAAAAGAATCATTCGAACAGTATTCTGTTCTGTGAATTGCATCTCGGGATGACTGTGCCCAGAAGACATTTTCATCAAACAAAATCAGCAAAATGCAATTCTTTATTAAAATTCGAGCTTCCTAACATTTCTTTACTTTTATATTATCTTGCCTGCATTTTTTGCAAGCCTATTGCCAGCGTTGAGTTGTGATGAAAACTTTGTATTTACGTGTCCAGGCCTCTGATGTTCTGTGATGTGTTTACAAGAGTTACCTGAACTCTAACATTCTAAAGTTTCTAGTCACTTTTAGCAAAGTGGTTTTTGTAAGAGTCTTGTGATCAAGTTCAAATCCTACCTCGGGCTGAACACCAAAAAGGGTCATTCCTACCCTTCGTGAATGTCAATGGTCACAGGTCAATATTCATTTATTAACAAATATGACTTTGTGTACGACAGCGTGATTGACGCCAGGATAGTGCATTAATATTCTCATTTGATTTAGAGATGGTTGCACATCCCTGTCATGTAATCCCAAACATGATTATGGCTTCTATGGCAAAAAAAGCAGGTGTCAGCACTTGCAATTTGCACATACAAAGAAGTCAGGAGAGACAAGTGACATCTAATGCCCGGAACTGTTGCTTTGCACAAACGAAATTAAAAGTTTTTTTTAATTCTAGTCTTCAAAAACTTTGTATTCAGGATTCTGAAGATTCATTTGCCTATCTGACAGATATCATGACTTTTCTTTATTTGTCTTCAGGGTGAATGGAAACCAAAACAAATTGAAAACCCAGAGTACAAAGGCAAATGGATCCATCCAGAAATTGACAATCCAGATTATAAAGCAGATGATAAACTTTATCTTTATACAGATATTGGTGCTATAGGCTTTGATCTTTGGCAGGTATGTGTTGGCTGTTTTTGTGTTACTATATGCATGTTTGATTTTAATTACTGTAGAATACTTTATTTTCGCTTGGAATTTGTTTTCGCTATTTTCACTGAAGGAATGATTCCGTGAAAACCAGCGAATATACTTTTCCTATATTTCACGTTCAACTCATCAAAAATCAGTGAAAATAAATTCCATATAAAATGCCCAAAAAGCCTTTTCAGCGAAAATTAATTGCAGCTAAAATAAAGTATTTCACAGTAAATTGAAAAAAACATCTGTGCTATACACCTGAAACTTCAGCTTAAAGCGCGGTGGTCGTCGCGCAGCGCGTGTTCGAATACCATGTAAATAAACAATGTATTTTACATGCTTTGTATACGCCGCTGTGAATCCCATATCGAACAGGACCCGGCGCGACGACTACCGTCCTTTAAACTTGTAGTCTTTGTAACTATGGTAATTGGATCGGTAATGTTAACAGTGAGTGGTTGCAATAGACCATTTTCCGTTCACTGCGAGAATCGCGCATTATGCGTGAAATCGAACGTAAAAACAGGACAAACAAAAGTCATAGCGTCGTAGTCGTGTCAAACATCGCGTGAGATTCGACAAACGCGAAAGTATTTTGGGGAACATTTCCATGTCAATAATGTGCTGTACACATTTGATGATGGGCAATTTCGATAAAGTGAGGATATTCGAATGCAATATTCCTGTCGAAGATCGGCCGGTTGATGTGCGCTACGAAATAAAGAAATTAGAGTTCAAAATCAAATCGTTCGATTTTTGCGACAGACGTTCGACGCGCGTCTTTCATGCATCTCGCAAGATCTCGCAGTTGTACGGAAAATCACCTATTAACCAGTTTCAAAATGTGCCTGCTTTGTGAAACATTGATCTAGAATTCAGACACTGTAGTTGCAATGAAAACTTTTCTGTGTGTATTGTACAGTGTTTATTTACTGAATCAATATGTCAGACTTGAAGACATAAATTTGTCAATACGCCCATAAGTGGCCAGTCATTATGTTAAATACAGCAAAATCACTTTAGTGTTAGATATGTAAGTATATTGCACAGGGGTTCTTTTCTAGAAAAGAACTACCAGAGTGGTAGTGGGGGGTTGAATTCTACCTACCAGGGTGTGGAGTTTTTTATTCTACAATGGTGAAATCTATGGATTCCTTGGGGCCAAAATTACTATCAGACAGGTCACAGTTGACCATGACCATGTCATAAGGATGCTGCGCCCTTGTTCCTGTTCCTGTTTCAGTTCTTTAATTGATATGTACTAAAAGATCAAGTTGTAATGCTACGTAATGATGAACAAATACACGTGTCTAGGCCTCTGATACTATGTGATGTTTTTTCAATGAGTTCCTGAACGTAGCAGATAATTATCTATGTTGTAGATAATCGTATCACAATCAAACCAAATCACTAACATTTTGTTTTCATTCCTTCTAGGTAAAATCAGGCACAATTTTTGACAATGTTCTAGTATCAGACAGTGTAGAAGAAGCAGAAAAACAAGCCACAGATCTCTGGGAAGTAACAAAAGTAAGTGAACTTTTTTTGAGAATCAATCCTGCTGGCTCTGAGTTATGATGAAAACTTTGTATTTACGTGTCCAGGCCTCTGATGTTCTGTGATGTGTCTACAAGAGTTACCTGAACTCCTTTAGCTTTCAAAAACTGTGGGGGGTACACTAACATCTTGCTGGAAGAGAATTCTATTTAGAATTTAATATTCTGTATGACAAATCAATTTAATAAATTTGGCATAGATAAGTTAGGACTTCCCATTCTCTACGTTTAGAGATGAGGTACTTGTGATGGTGTGATATTCTGTAAATCTAAATGGATAAGCAGATTGCATCGCAGCTAGCGAGTGAAATTGATATATATATTTAGGGCTTAAATAATCAGATTTTACTATCAATGTGGAGTTGAGTATATGGTAATTTGATCCTCGCCTATGGCGAAAGTGGCTACTAATGATATTGACATTGTGTATTTTACTTCATCATCAGAATGGAGAAAAAGAGATGAAAGATAAACAAGATGCTGAGGAGCGTGCACAGAGAGAGGAAGAAGAAAAGAAACTCAAAGAGGAGGGAGGTGACGAAGAAGAGTTCGATGAAGAAGAGGAGGACTTTGATGAGGATTTTGATGAAGACATGGATGAAGAATTCCATGATGAACTTTAGAAAGTTTTAAAAATGCATTTTATTTAATTTTAGTTTTGAAATTCTATATTTAATGAAAAAGGAAAAAAAAAAAAATATTTCTTGCACCTTCTCCGTCAGGTACACAAGAGTTTCAAAATCTTAGGTGGCTTTCTCTGGACTGCTTCTTATCATCTTTATAGAATTGTGGTTTAGAATTTTTATTTTTGTTAAAGGTGTGATGTGCCTGTGCATCTTAAACATAATTTTAGTAAAAAAAATAAAATAAAAAAAGCCCTAATTAAAGTCTTGCTTCCATATTTGCTTAAATTATGTTCATGTGTAATATTTGAAAGGAATATTTTAGTTTGTCTTTCTTTTTTTAAACCTCTCCCTGTAAACCTCGGAATGCGTCTTTCCTGGTATTGATTGTACCACATTGTTGTTGCCATAACAACATATTATCATGTCAAAATTGTTTCAAATTATCCAGATTTTGGGAATAAAATTATTTACAAGTTTTATTTGGATCATGTGTCTGTGTTTTGTCTTTTTAGCTCCGCTGTCGACTTTGTCGAGCGGAGCTTATCATATGAGTGATTGTTCGTCGTCAATGTTTTACTTTTTCGACTTCTTCTTGAAAACTACAAGCCTGAATGCTTTGATACTTGGTGTATATGTACCTTGGGTAGACCTCTCTCAGATTTGTTCATTTCATGATGATATCTTCAATTCTCTAATTTTGGTGAATATTTTTGTAATTTTTGGTAAAAAGTGATACTTTCGACTTCTTGTTGAAAACCGCAAGACCAATTGCTTTGATATTACATATATAGGTACTACATGTGGACATCTCTCAGATTTGTTTATTTTGTAATGAATCTTTAATTCTCTAATTTTGGTGAATATTTTTGGTAAAAAGTGATATTTTCGACTTCTTGTTGAAAACAGCAAGTCCAATTGCTTTGATATATTATACATATAGGTACTACATGTGGACCTCTCTCAGATTTGTTCATTTTCTAATGATATCTTCTGTTCTTTAATTGCCATGTGCATTGCTAACAGTGGAGCTATCTCAGCCAACAGGCTGCTTGTCTGAACAAGTGCCAGTACTGATATTGATGTTGAGTGTGTTCTAACTATGCTCAGTAGTTGTGCATTTTATGTTTCCACATAGATATACTGACAATTATTTGTCTTTCAGGTATGAAGATGCTGTAGCTGACTTTGAAGAAGTGATACGGTTAGACAGAAGCATTGCATGTCCGCATCTCAACCTGGGCTTGATCTCTATGATCAGACTCGAAAATTATTTCAAGTAAGTATATGTTTATTGAATTGAAAATGTCTTTATATCGTGTTAGTTTTAAATTTTGATTATTGTAGTCAATGCTCTCTCAGTCAGTAGTAAATTGAGTCTTCTTTTTTTTAAATTTACTAAATTACATTGTATGATATATGAGAAATGTTCGCTATCGCATTTACTAACATTATTTTTAAAAGCAGGGCACACCCAAGACTGAGAATTATTTGTGTTTATTGGTGTGTTTTATAGTAGACTACTGGTGTAGGTGATGCTATTATACCAAGGTGTATTCATAACACACACGATGTAACTGATCAGAACTGATGATCCCATTCCGCATGAGTTAATATAATGAATAAATAATAATAAATAATATTAAAAAATAACAGAAATGTGAAAATAATAAACATGCAACTCCCAAATGATTGGTTGAAGCCTCTGGGTCCAAGCAGCTCAAGTGTTTTTTTATTAGGTGGGCACTGATTGCCAGCCAATCACGTTCATTATCTCATCTCACAATTGGGAGTTGTGTATTTGTGTGACATCAGACGATATCCCGATGTTTGATAAAGGTCATAATTAACTTTATGTTACAAGTGACTGTGTACACATTAGTCAAACTTGCTCAGACCAATGGCATCTTGGATTCAGTAGACACGCTAGAAAAAACAGCTTGGAACTCACACTGACTATTTCTTTCACAGATTTTCATATTCACAAATATCATAACTCACATATACATTTGTACATACATGTACAAGTCATGCATTGAGTAGACTACGGACAGGTACTGGTCTCATTGAAAATAACATATGAACATTTTTTTGATCTTCAGAGCTATTACACATTTCACAAATGCCATCAAGGTAGATGCCACATATTGGAGAGCTCTGGTTTGCAGAGCTGAAGCTTATCATAAGCTCCATGAGGTAAGACATCAAATACAGCCTACATGTATACAGGGTGGTTTTCAGTTTAACACCTTTAAGTCAGCCTTCAGT